TATATATATATGTATATATATACATCACATTTTGTGAGAAAGCCCAACAGCTCCAGTCTGTATACCTGGATAAGTATGAGACAATATGAGTGAGTCAGCTGGGAGAGGAAGGCCCAAAACGGCATTCAAAGTCCTCCCTCGCAATACTGCATCGCACTTGGTTTCTTTTTAAGAGATTGTCATTATTCCATTGGGGTGCATTTCCTGGCAGCTATAAATGCTTTCAGACTCAATAAACTGGAATCCAATGAGACAGATCTTAAGGTGCACCAGGAGGTATTTCTATATAAGTCTGGACAACAATACAGCCATGACAGGATCAATCAAGCCCTCGCTGAAAAAAAAGAAAGAATGCCAGAACTGGTGCACTCTGCACCACTAAGCCTAAGTGTTCTTTTGTCCGACTCTAAAAAAAAACTTTCAAGTTTATATTGTTTATTTGGATACAAAGTAAAAAAAAGAAAACGTCCCAATTCAGCCTCATTATATCACAGTACAACCTCAAGAGACTCATTGTTTTCCATCTACAGACTCTCAGCAGAATAATAGCTCAGTTCATAAAGGAATAAATGAATGAAGCAAAGCTCTTGGAGTTCAATTGGTTGCACCAAAAAGTACATTTGTAAAGTGTTACATACCTTCTTTTAACAGCATGCTTTCCAAGTGTGCACTTTTTGCCTTCACGTTTGTGCTCTCATCTGTTCACTCTTGAATAATGCCCAGTAATGGGATGTGCAGCTTCCTGGGGTGCACAATATACTTCAAGTTATTAAAATGTAAATCGAGGCATGCTTGCCTATAATGACACTTTTGCAAACTCTGACCAATTGTATTTTTGTTTCTATTCCTAAATGTAAGCAGCTGAAGGTAGACTGTCCAAGGAAATACATTTAGGAGAATGAGGAGATGCAGGTGTAAACCCTGTAAAACACAGAGCTACTAAACCCATTTTTGTGATATAGAGCTGCAGTTTTAATCAGCGCCAGCTGAGGGTGCACCATTTTTTATGTGTGCTGTAGGAGGTCAAAGGGTACTTCCTTTTAAGACTTCCCACGATGTTAGAAGAACGTGCTTGAGTATAACTGGTAAAATATTACACCCAAAATGTTAACACAACCCATTTTATATGCTGTGATATATTTTAACAAATTATAATTACTTTATAGTTCGACTTTGAGGTGCTGCAGACCATTTTTTTGTTGAGAACATACTTGCCTGGAGCTCTGGTGAGTCATGCATGTAGCAATTGCTAACTGGTAGCTTCTTTGATGAAGTAAGAGTATATATGTTTGTGTGTGATGCATTTATATTGGTTCTTAAGGAAAGCAAATAGCATGTTTCTGTTGTTACTCTATTTACATGATTTTGTTTTTTTTAAACTGCTGTTTTGGAACTAAATGCCAGTTGTAACTGACTACCGTATTTTTTGGACTATAAGCCGCACCCGCCATTTTTTAAAAAAAAAAAGCGCGAACATCAACATTTAAGCCGCACCGGACTATAAGACACCCCACCCCCACCCCCCATCAGTAAAAACAAAAACAAAACAGTACACCCAAAATTGTGGTCAAAAAAGTGAATTCAACATCACATTTATTTTAAAGAAAAAGGTTGGCAAGTTCACCGGTACAAAAAAAAATAAATAAATAAAAAACTCTCGGAAAAAAAGGCGAGAGGTCTGGAATTAAAACATAAAAAGCAAATCTTTAGAAATTACCGGTAAAGTTCGGAGGAATACGGTTCATTTAACTCACCTTATTTTGGTCGTTTTCTTTAGCCGTTTCTGGTCCAACAAAAAGTCTCATTCATCGTCCTCCGGCGCACTGAAACCATCGAAGTCCTCCTCTTCAGTTTCGGAGTTAAACAAGCTGAGAAAAGCTGCGTCACACAGAGGTATCTGTTCAGTGCTGCTTTGTGTCGCTGTCCTCCCGGGGTAATGCTGGCTCTGAAGCTGTGGTGGGATAGCCCTCCCGCTCCAGCATATGTCACTGCATGGGTTTCCTTCCCCGGAGAGTTCAATGAGGAGAAAAAAAGTCCGCGGCTCTTCACTCGACGTTTATCCACAAACTGGTCCTGGATTAAGCTCCAAAGTTTATCAGTCAGATTCCACCGTGAAAAATGTCTGTTTTATCCCCTTTTATGAGTTTTTGGCCATTGACTATCTTTAAATCGCTGCTTCCTGGTACAACAGTCGGCTCTGGAAGCGATCGCTTTTTTCTTTTTTTTTCCTTTCTTTTTTTGAAGCGAGTGGTTGAAGCAAATGGAGCATAAGAGCCCCCTGGTGGCTGAAGAAAAAAATCCATGTATAAGCCGCACCGGACTATAAGCCTCATGGTTCAAAGTTCAGGAAAAAAGTTGCGGCTTACAGTCCAAAAAATACGGTACTAAAATGGCTAAAGCCGTATTGGAGAGTTATTTTGAAGCACTGAGAATCACATGTGTTAGGAAAATCAATGTTTAATGTGTTATGTTATATTTTTGCATCCTGATATGACATTTGTGGTAATTTGTTTAATAATTTCTAAAATAACAGAGGTTGTTTCTGCTTGTTAAATTAGCAAGTGTCTTACCTGAAACTGAAGTTGTTGTAAAGCACAACAATTGACCAAAATACTTGAAACCCTAGCCATTGGTTGTATATTGATGGACTAAAAGTGTAACTAGAACTAATGAGATCTCATATTAGAACTGAACCTGGTAAACTCATTGTTCTACATTGTTGTGTAGACTGGTTCCGAGATACCGGATTGAAAAGAAGATTCAAGATGGCGAGCCGAGCCCTGGAAGACTGAGCAGCTGGACAGCGGTGTGGCTAGCCGTGAAGCTGTTCCAGACTACAGATCTGTTGATTGCCATTCCATGAACACAGATAAGACATTACACAAACTCTTTAGCACTACCCGGGCAGAAAAAGGAAACACTGATTCAGAGAAATTAATACTGCAAGAAATGGGAATTCCCACTCATTTTGAGAGTGAGTGGAGAACTAAAGACTCATTTTCTAAGAATTTTGTTTTTCATTTAAATTTCAGTTTTTTTGTAAAGATCTCTATTTTGTATGTTATATTGATGTTGGCAATAAAGTGTCAGCTGTTCAACTCACTAACGTCCTCCTGTAGGTTACTCCAATCACTGCTCTTCGAACCTAGGTAGATATTGGTCTCTTTGTTACCCACTCTTATTTAAGAGAAGAGGTGCTACACAAGTTTTAGGCAATAAAACCCACACCACATGACACATGACGTGCATTATCTATGAATCACAGAACAGTACTTGTTTTGTTGATATTTGCAGATTATGAGTTATACGAGTAAATGCTACTTTCACACTAAGTTTTATGTACGTGTTTTTAATGTCCCCACACATATTTCACAGCATGATACCACATCTCAGTTTTGTATATCTGTTGTGTTTCTTTGATCTTTTCATGTAGCTATAAGAACGTCTCAAACTTGCCTCTATCCGATACTAGACAGCAAGCTGCCGTGGATTTATTGGTCACACGGAAAAGTTCTGAAGCATTAAACCAACAACTCCAAAACGTCACCTGCTGTATATCTCACATATACACCATAAAAACAAAAGTTATGCAACAGGGACCCAACATTAACGTAACGTACTCATGCTACTATTGCTGTGTCCAACTGCCAAGGTATTGTTTTGTTATTATATAGTTAAAGTTATGTATCAGTATTGTATTGCTTTGTGTTTGTGGTATAAGTATGGAGTAAATATTGTAAGAGTACCGACAAGGTTTAGAGCTTTATTTGGCTCTGTTTGCATACTGTCTTCAGTTGTATGATGTGTACCGACTGAAGATCAACATTTACTTTTCCACAAACATGGGCCTGGAAGAAACTGATGTGTAAGGGACTGTTGTGGGTTTTGGTTTGGACCCAATTTGAAGACAGAAAAAAAAGACAAAGAAAATCTTTTGACCCACATAAAAATATATTCAAATTACACAAAGAATCAGTCAGATTAAGGAGCAACAAATTTTTTGTCTCTGACTATACATGGATTGATGGTAGCACATAAAAGGCCTTTTAGTTAGATTTTTTCTTTCAGCCAGAAAAGTAGGTCTAATGAGTGAATATAAAAGCAAATTTTGCAAAAGCTGAAACACAACCGAGTCAGACATGTTTCATTTGACAGGTTTGAGGTTTTATTCGTAATTATTTTAGGCTCCAGAGAAGTTTTCTCAGAAGGTGGTAATGATGCTGACCTTTACTCTACAGAGAGAATAAAATGTGCTAAATCCCTATGTATTTCTTTTATTATGAGCAACTATTTACTTTTACTTTAAAAAGCAAAAATAAAACCATCAGTTCTGCAAATCAAAACTTTTGTTTCTAGTAAATATGAAAACAACAGTAAATTTGTGTTTTTAAATCTGTTTAAGATGGCCTTTTTAAATTAAGTTAAGAAAAAACACTATAATAAAACAAAAGCTGGGGACTCATTGGGACAAAACTGGCCAAGGGGGTTTAAAAATTGTTTAAGGGTGGCCATTGCGACCCCTCCCTTTGGTGACGCCCCTTGTTATTTAAAGGGGAGGGGGTACTTTTGTTTGTCCGTCGCTTATAGCAACTGATGCTTAGGAGATGAAATGAAGCACTAAATGAGAACAGCTAAAAGACAAAAACCCTACAAAGAGTGGGTATTATGTATTTAACAGGTACACAATTCTATACCACAATTAAGTAACTATTGTTATGAAAATGCTGTATACTGTAAACTATCTAAACGTCTTGAAATTGTCCTTTGTTTCTTTAAGAACCTCCTACCATTTCTGACACTCCCACTTCAAAACATCTTCACAACAATGCTTCGGGGTAGGGATGCTCAGCTGCAGACTGAGGTCCAGGGAGGAGCTTTGTGTAAATAGGCGATGCTTTTTTAGCAGCAAGCGTTTAGGCAGCTCCACATGACTACGGTAGATATAACCTTGAATGAGTCAAAGCAACACTCTGTGTATGTTTTTGATGAGGGAATGACATCATGACACGGTTTCAAGCTCAAAGTCAAGTTTGCACAATTACCCCTCTTCCTTTAACAATGTTTCAAGAATGTGACTCAATGTGACTCTTGCAAATTTCTTGGAAAGATGATCAAAGCAAACCAATGCCTCTCTTCTTTCAACCAACTGAGATTAAATCTAAAGCAAACTGAAAATATCAGTCATGCAAAATGACAAAGCAACAGGGGGCTGGGAAGAAGTAAAAAAGATAAATATATTCTTGCAAGATGAATAACACCTTGTTTTCCAATTTACATGTTAATTACCCATAAAATTACTTTGAGAGCAACTAGGATCAGACCCCAGAGGTTCCAGTGAAGTGATGAATGGAGTGAACAGCGTGAATGGACGAGGATCCTGCAACCATGCATGGGTGGTCACAGACACTTAAGTCCAATGACATACTCGTAGCCTCTAATTAGCACCGATGCTTTGGTGTAAAGGCCAAATCTGTCTTGCTGGCTTTTGTGCACAACACTCCTCCAGTAAACTTCCAGTCATTGGCAGCAGTGCGGGGTGAGAGGAGGCAGCAGAGATTGGCCTTGTAAACACCACGGCAGCGGACAGAGTGCTCAAATTGGCAATGCGTTATATGACTCTGCCAGGCTCCTTGTTGATGTGTATGTGGGGTGTTTGGGAGGGCTGTTTATTGCTTGGTAATGTGGTGGCTGTTCACACTTTGTCACCATGTCACATCATGTGTGAGTCATCCCTGTGAGGGGATTCAAACTGGACACAAACAGAGCAAAAAGAAGAGTGGATAAACGTTTACTTACTGTATAGCCCCCCCTTTTTTTCATATCATATTGTTTCTCATCTATGAGTCAATCCCTTTAGCTAGAAACATCACCAAAACCTCACGATTCCCTCTGCTCGCTCTCAGAAAGAGATCAAAAATGTTGAAATGAAGCGATCGATGTCAATTGCTTTTGGAGTGGCTCTCGCCGTGTAAGGAGAGAACGCCGGGGCATGTAATAAAGATGGAGAGGCGGATAGGCCGTGCACGTGCACTTGGAGACGCGGCGGGGTTGCCAGGTCGAGTTAGGGGAGAATTGACTGCGTGTCACAGCGGTGGTGAGGGATTCTCGATGAGCAGAGAGCCGATTGATTTTGGATCAAGTTCTGGGAAGACTGACGCTGTGAGTTATTATCATAGTTTTAAATGATGATTATTTCCGTAATGCGATTAGTACGTGGTGTATAGTCTTTCCAGCTCGCATGCACAGTCAAACACACACACATGTGTCAAAGCATCAGCGGAGTGTATACTGTAGGTGAGCTGAAAGCTGTGATGGTCTCGAAGCTCAATGAACCGAGAGCCCTTCAGCCTTTCTATCTCATCTCGGAACAGATGGCAACATTACCAAGCTCCATACTCATCCATCATTCGCTATTCACTTAGCTGGGTAGTATATCAGTGTTCCTGTGTGGCTTTGGGTTCACTTTTGTCCACGATGTACTTCAAAGGGAAGTGACGCGAAAGAGACAGGCCCGTCAAAGGAGTGCGCACCCATGGAGATGTTTATTTTCAGCACCGATGCTTCCATATAAAACTACCTGAGTGTTTAATGACAAGTCTTCAGGTCGGAGCGGATCTATTCGATGGAGAACAGAATAAGAACGGGTGAGACGGATGACGGATGAAGTTCGATGATGATGCCTGTCAAAGCTCCTCCAGTAATCTCTTTACGCTCTACCCCTCTGAAACATTGGAGGAAAAGGAAGGGCAGATGTGTAGTTAGTATTTCAACTCATCAACCCCCACCCCATCCCCCACTATACCTCNTCACTACAAAGAGTTTGATATTAACTCTGAGTGTTAACTTTACACTCTCAAATATATGGTGTATTGACACCTTGTGGTGTCTGTTAACATATCTACACTGGTATTTTTGCTGTGATCTTTAGACATAAACATCACAAACTTAATGACAAAAGGTGTTAACTTATAACTTTGAAACACATTATTTTAAATTAGACAGGCTTAATGAGTCCCACCCTCCTTAACTTTAAAACTTTAAAATAAAAACTGAATCTGAATCTGGATTATTTAAATCCAGACTGGAGTTTCCTGAGAGACTTTAAATACAGATAAATGATAAACGTTGTTGTTTTTGTCATTTGAAGCTGTAAGAAAAGCAGTTCAGATCCTTCAGGACCTCAGTGACCGACGCCTCCTCGTTCACTGAAACAAACGTTTCTGCACAGAAAACAAAGACCTGTTTTACACGTTTCTGTGTTTTAATAACATTTAAAAAGCTACAATCAGTTTAAGACACTGTGTCCCCCTCACTGTGGGACACGGTGGTCTTCTCATGGTGCAGCAGCAGATCATCAGTCCTTCCTGACAAAGACGGTCTTTGTCTGACGAGACTCTTACCTGTCCAACAGCATGGACGTCCTGCAGCTTCACACACACACACACACATCCACCCCCTCAGACACGTCCCGGATGGGATTAGCAGGTGAGCGGTGTGTTCTTGTGCGTAGGAGGGGTTTCGTGCACACGTACGTGCGTTTCATCATCATGAAGAAGTTGTGGAATAAAATGTGGAGAAGCATCTGGTCACAGAGCAAACAATAAATCATTCTGAGGTTCAACTGCAGGCTCGCATTTCCATACGCCCACACACACACACACACACACACACACACACACACACACACACACACACACACTATACCTCCCTCGCCCCCCCCACCTCTTTCCTCTCCCTTGTAGTCATTTCTGAGCCTTGGGCAAAACGCTGAAACCATCTGCTCTGCTAAGTCTGTCTCCATTCGACTTTTGCTTACAGCTTCTCCAGCTCTTCCTTCTTCTTCTACCCCCCACCACACACACACGCACGCACGCACGCACGCACGCTTGCACACACACACACACACACACAAACATCTGTCTCCCTCTTAAAACTCTTTGATAATCCCCCTTGTCCAAGGTAACCTTAAATTCAAAGCAAATTTGTGAATTTTGGAGCTCAAACATTCTGTGTCAACATTTCCTGCAATTAAAATACTCCACATATTTTTTTATCTCCCTTTTTTAAAAGCAAAGTCTTTCAAGCACTGCTGCCTTTGATGA